TTAACTACACATTTTGCAGGCCGCACGCTGTTTTTCATTTGGAAGGGATTAGCAGGGACTTCAGAGGGATCCACCAGGAGGGGGAATAACACAGGCATGGGAGGCAGGGGAGCTCTCGAGAGCGCCACTTTTATTGAAGTACTGACTGAGGCACCGTCATATTTCTGGCTGTAGGCTACGTGCCAAATCAAAATCAGAATTTAATTTGTTTCCCTTCAACTCGAATTGCACTCTAATTTGCATATGAAAGCGATTCATTTTTCTTCTTTGTCCTGTCTAATCTTGCACCTTTACATTTTCGTTCGCTAAATAACTCAATTCTATGTTCGCTTTTAGATTGTCAGTCGTTCGAATCAGAGCCGTCATAATCCGGCTGCGGCTTTTAAAATTTTCAGCTCATCGATTGGTTTCATGTATGCAAATTATTTACCTCTTCAACAATCCTATTCCAGCTGATGATTTTTTGTTTGATGCAGCTGCCTTCGATCGAGATATTTTGGGCAGGGATATTTTTGAGATATTCATTTTACCGTCGGCAATAAATTGAATCACTGGTTTAAATAGAGGCTTTTTCCAGAGTTCGTATAAAAGGACCTTTGAACTTATGAACGACAAACAATTAAAAAGAAAATATATAGGTAATTAGCTTTGAAACTATTTCGTGTTCCTGTTACAGTAGTTACAAAATTAAATCGACAATTTTCTTAACAGATGAATGCTTGGTTTTCCGGTGAAGTTGGACTTCCTTATTCGGAAAAAGAAACTAGCCCCTAGGCCTCTATAATATTATATAGAGCATCTGAAACGTCTTATTAGATATGTGCTAACTAATTATTTAGACTTCATATAACTATATATATTCTATAGTAGATTTTTCCGAGTACCCACGTCTTAGACCATAAGATTGTTCATATGATGGTAAGTTTGATTCACATCAGTCAAAGGAAACAGAAACCCCTTGTGACAGCTATATTACTTATCCCTTCCTTCCTCCGTTCCTGCCCGCTGGCTGTTAATTTATTTAAACACAGAGCTTCAAAGACCGCGCTTCCCCCACATATCAAAGCTTCGTTTTCCATCAAATGGATTTCATTTTGAAATCCAATAACTGCCAAAAGGAAACATTCTCTGGCCAGGACAACCCTTTTAGTCGCTATCTACTTGTACGGAGGAAGCGGGATATATACAAAGTAAAATGAAACATTTTCGGAGTACATAATGTAGCAAGCTGTGTGTGTGTAAGTACTCGTATACAGACGCAGTGTATTTCGCACTTTACGCAATTTTCCCCGCCAGCGCGAAAAGGGTTGAAAGTGCGTAAGGACATGGAAGGACAAACACCCCAACAACGAACACACGATCTGCGGCGTTGCCAGATTGTCATCGCAGGCATCTCGCCTTCATCGCTCTAAGCACCATCGTCTCGTCCTGAAACCCTTTCGCTGACGGACTCCGGCGGCCATTATTATTTTCCTTTCCAACTCCCCCTGGGCTCCGGCCTCCTTTTCGTTTCCTTCGACGTTTTCGTAATTTTCTTAAAAATATTTTGGCAGTAAACTTTCTGGATTTAAGCCCTTCCCGGCAGCTTTTCTTTCCCTCCCAACCCCACGTCCCGCCAAACCGTTCCCAAGGTTTTGCGGTTTGCACGGCTTTACAGCGGCTCCCAGTGAACTATTACGCGGCCCCACCCACTTCCCCTTTCCCTCCTCCATGGCCACCAAGGAACTCGCGTTTTAATCTCATTTTATGAAATGAAAATTTTTTAATTTTTCGACAAGAGATAAACTTTTTCTACTTGACTGCGTAATTACTCGGCTTTCGAATAAAAATGCTGTGAATTTTCGTCGGGTTCTTTGCTGACTTTTGTTGGTCACCATCGCCTCTGGTGATGCGATGCTGAAGTTACTGCTGCGGCAAGCGACTACCACAAGCTACCACTGTTTCCGTTAGCGTTGGCGTTGATTTGCATAATGGCAGACGATAGCAGCATAACTGTTAAGATTATTAAAACGTGCCGAAGTACAGGCTGACTTATGATGTGGTCAGCTGAGCCGCTAATTATAAGCGCTGATGAAAGGGTCACCAGGGTTAGGGGCAAAAAGCAGAAGCTCCAACGATTTTAAAAGCATGACTAAAAGCAAACTTGATTATCTGGCAAAAAGAATACTATCAATACGGCGGTATCCCCCTATGCTTAAGGTTTCGAGCAGGAATTAATAAAAAGAGGTGATAGAAACTCAAGAATCATATTTTTTCCAAGATCTGTTCATTATTTTCCATAGGCTTTTATCAAAAATCCAAAAAGTCGGGCTGTTTTTTTTCGGATTTTTGACATCAAAAACTTATACTTAAACACACATTTTTCAAGGGTTTTTTGTAGTTACTTTGCCAAAATAAGACGCACAGCCAAAAGAATGACTGTTTTGTGCAGCTAAGAACCTAGTTAATTAATACCAGGTCAATTTGGTAAAATTTATTTTTTGAGCGATTTTCGCATTTTTAATAAGGGGTAACACGATGATTTTTGGCGAACACTGGCACAAAATAAAATTTTTTTGCTAAGTATACCAATTGATTGGAAATCTTGTACCGAATCCAACGAAGTATGACATTCCAAGATTTGACCATTATTTCCTAGGGTTTTGATCAAAAAAGCGAGAAGTCGAGCTGATTTTGTCCGGATCTGGGGCATCAAAAACATGAATTTAAACACATATTTTTTAAGGGTTTATTGTTGTAACTTTGCCAAAATAAGACGCACAGCCAAAAGAATGACTGTTTTGTGCAGCTGAGAACCTATACATTCAATACCAGGTTGATTTGCTAAAATTTATTTTTTAACCGATTTTCGCATTTTTCATAATGATTTTTGGCGAAAACTGGCCAAAAAAAATATTTTAACTGAGAATACCAACGGATTGGAAATTTGGTACAGAGTCCAACGAGGTATGACATTTCAAGATCTGACTATTATTTCCAAAGGTTTTGATCAAAAAACCGAAAAATTAAGCTGATTTTTTCCGGGCTTAGGCCATCAAAACCAGATAGTTAAAAACATTTTTTTAATGGCTTTCTGTGCTCACTTTGCGAAGATAAGACGCTCAGCATAGATACTTTATGATAAAAAATTCAATAATTGGTTTTTATTTTTTGAAATAAATAAACTCAATTCAAATATAGTATTATTTTAAAGTCTTTAAATGAAACAGATATAAACAGAAGTTTATTGAAATCTTTGTGAGAATAAAAATCCACATGGAAAGCAAAAGAAAAAATTAAACCCTCTAAAAGGGAAGGAAAAAGTGCAAACAAAACCAATAAAAAGGTCTAAGGATGGTAAAAAAAAGTTTTGTTAATTTTGTTTTTGCTTAATGAGCAAGCATACATACACACAAGTTGCGCTAGAAAACGCATTCAATAAATGCGTTGAGGGCGCGTTGCCAAGAGCCCAGAGAACAAATATTAATTTCTTGACATAAGCGGCCTACAACCACATGCACAAAACTCACAGACATACATTCTAATAAAAAAATACTAAGTATATTTAAAAATGTTTTGGATTTTGGGGAGTGCGAAGGACTCCAAAAAGTCTAGCTTTAGGGGTTGGTTCTTATTATACCCTGCACTTTTATGAAGGCTATAATCATTGAGCTCTAATTTTAGCCTTAACACTTGCAAATTAATCTGAAACAAAAAAAATACATTGAAAATAGTAATAAACATATTTAAAAAAGTTTTTTTTTTGAATGGTCACAGTTTTTAATATTGTTGAAATAACTTTCCGATTTTAGTATAGTCATAATACTTAGTAAAAACCCCACTCCAGTGATTATAAAAATAATATTTAAGAAATTATAACCTTTCATAATTTGAGAGACATATATAAAAATATAAATATATCCTGCTTCTCAATAATTATTGCAGTGAAAGGGTAGTTAAGGCTTCATACATGTTTTGTTTTATCTTTTTTTGTTGGTAGAAATTCACAAAAATTCTCCAGAGCAAAATGTTAAAAAATTAGCATCGGCCAGTGTTGATGCAAACACATGTCGCTTTGGGTGTTTGCCTTCCATCGTTTACCACCCCACCATTAATCTTACCGCCAAATATCTTCTGACCCCTTACGCACCCACACTTTGGATTTGACATAAATTATTTAGACTCATTTAATGTGCCACTGCTGAAGCATTTTCCATTTTTGTTTTCTCTTTTCTTTGCCACCCTTCGAACGCGTTTTGGTTCTTTTCGCGTTCATTAAGTTTGGGGGTTTTTTCTGGGCAAAATGCAAGAAAATGTTGGAAAATTAAAATAATGTGTCCCCTGTCGCCGCCAGACGCGACTCTCCGACTTGAATTTGATGTGGATGCTGTGGATTTTATGGATGGGACCTAAGCTTCGCATCTGCTTATGAAACGCACGTCTGAGAGTTGCTGCCAGATAGTGATATTTTACCAGAAAACGTAAGATTTGGAGTATAATCCTTTTGATCAATCATTAAGTAAGCCAGCCAATGGTCAAGCCCATGAACCCTTGACCCTTCAACCAATCTAAAGCTAATTACCGCTACTTGAATTGATAATGCGACCCCGTCCCTTTGGCTTTGTCACCCAACCCTCTCATAACACGCTCGTTAACTCGTGTTCACACTGACCACAGGGCAAGCCACCAGGGGAGGAGGTGTAAAACAGGAAATGACCAGGACCAAGCAAACCAAATGTGAAGCGGTCAGTTCGGTCAACTGGTTTATGGCCGACCCGCTGACTTTTGAAGTGTTTGTCCTGCTTTATAGTTTAATTCTATTTGGCTTTTCGCTTTGGGCAGTGCATAAATTAGCATTAATAGCATTATCCGCAGAGGGATCGACACAAGGGGATTTTATAATGGTCATTGGGCAATTAGCAACGTAATTGATGGACAAATGGCGTTACTCAAAAGCGACCTAATTTTCTTGCATAGCGTATAGGGGGAATCGCTGACCAGAGGAAAAAAAAACAGGACAATAAAGTCATACACCTTTATTACAACTTGATCTTCGTCGAAAGGACGACAATACAGTTTTTATGTTGTCCAGATAATAGGTACGCTAACAAGACGGTCCGCAACTACTGCAGCATCCGCCCCCGCAACAAGGTCCACACGGTCCACTATAAAATCCGCATCGGGGTCCGAAACAGCGACCACTGAAGCAAGGACTGCAGCAGGGATAGTAGCAGGTTCCACAGCAAGGTCCGCAACACATGAGGAGGCTGTGAGAATTCTAAACAAAACTTTTAATTATGAGAAAATCTAGTTACATTTTTTTTTACTTGTACACTGAAGTCAAAAAAACAATAAATAACAATAAATTTGGATGTTGTCGTGTTGAAGGCCGGTGTAAGACTGAATTTTTCTTGGATGTTGAATCTGTACAAGCATTTGACAGCAAACAGAACGAGAATCAAGGCTAATGCGATGTTAAATGTGTTTTCATTAAATTTCTTAAATTAATTTGTTAAAAACTGTGTAATTATTTAAGAAAGGAAGCCAAATTCGACCATCAAAAATTAAATATATAATTATATTATATATAAAGACAGGTCAAATAATTGATCAACATTAAAATAAATGTTATGTATTCTATATCGGGACATCGGAAACTAGGACGAACTTATAACGGTAGAGTATAAGAAACTTATGTAAGTATGGTATTTAATTGAGATCGTTTGGCACTAGGTATAGCCTTGTTTATTTATATAAAGCAGTTTTGGGTTGCTATCAGAAATCCGTTTATAGTGAAACTATAATCAAAAGCAAAAACAAAGCTTTCAACTTTTACCAACTAAGAGGGCGAAAAACGAGTTAGTTTTCATTAATTTACAGATATGCCTGCACGAAATAACAAACGACCTCGCACACTTCTACGCTTATGTTAATGAAAGGCACCACGAATATTAACATAAAATCAGGCACTTTCTTGGGTAATTAAAAAGGTTGACTAAGCCCTTGCATTAGCTTTACTTTGTGAATTACCTAAACACATGTGGTAAATGTGAATGACCACCATTTGACCATTTAGTGTACCCGTACTCGGCACGCGTCCTGCTGCGCACTCATAATGCCAAGCCTAATGACCACTACGCACTTCCGCCTAGGCCATTCTGAACTCAAGGACCCTATTGCGTATTTTCTGATTCTTTACATGAATAAATATTAATATTCAAATTGGACTGACCCAACACAGGCACCAAAGTGTGTCGCATATTAAAAAGTCATTTTCCAAGCAAATGAGTAAACATTTTTCCTTTAGCTGGTCTTGCCAAACTAAACTGGCTTCGAGCAAGTAGAAATGAGAAACGAGACGGAAGCACATGCTGTTCGACATGAGCTTGACCGGAACTGCCATACGTGCCGGAAATGCGTGATTTTTGGTGTAGTATCGCATTATATTTAGGTCGATATGTGAAAGCCCCGAAAGTCATGCCTTAGAGTTGGGAAAGTAAAATCGCGCTGGCACCGCTAATGTTATACCGCTAATGTGTTTAGATATCATTAGGAAAACCCGATTCCTCGCTCTATACGACATTATATTGCAAATTTTAAATTTGTGTTGAAGAGGACACCATTCATTAAGTTCAATTCATATTAATGACTATTAACATTTACAAAATCTCATAAAAGCCTCTTGGTACAATCACCCTCTTCCCATTCTCCTCATGTAGACTGTTTTCTAAAAAATTTGTATTCTTACGATTCGGCAAACGTCAAGTACAAATCCTTCAAAATTATAAATATTCTACACTGTTTCTGGCCTCGGATTTGCCGAATCCGATTGTTGATGGTAGAGTTTTTTCGTGGATCAGCTTAGTTGCTGTCTGGTACTGCCCACCGAATTTTCTCATTCACTGTCATTGCGCTCTTTTTTTATTATTATTTTTTTCAAGCTCTGCTAGCCTTAGCTTCAAACTTAGCTACGATTGTGGCTTGAGCGTCATCACGGGATCGATTCGTTTTTTTCTTTCGGCTGGGAGCTCTAGATGTTTGTTGTTCGGGCTTGTCATCTGGGTAAGCTCTAAAAATTAATGATGCGCAGCACATTCGACAGTCCCCTGCCGTCATTGGCTGGGTTGGATATCCAGGATATATGTAAGTATGCAAAAAAAAAATTAGAAACAAAATTCACATTCGCTGCTCTAAGCTGCGGCTTAGGTTCGCTTGCTCATTGATGAAAATTAATGAGTGTGCGTGTTGTGCTCCGTAAATATTCGAAAGGAATATTTTCGGAGATTCTGTAGTTGTTTCGAGCCCCGGGACCTAGCTCGGTCTCAGCTATCGCGCAATCGCCCCACAACGAGCTACAGACTCAGGACTAATTTGCATAATTACAGCCCGTAATTTTTTTCCTCTTTTACGCAGACAAAAGTATACACACGAATTGCTTGTGTGCGCCCTTCAGCAAAGGGACGCAATTTCCTTTTTTGTGTATGGCACTTTTTTACTCGATATTTGTTTATTACGCAGCCTTACACACGCACTCACAAGCGTCGGCTTTTTCCATTTTTGATTTCTAACAAACAATATACCATAGTGCGTTTATTGTATGTACAGAAAATGGGGAGAGCTGACAATATCCTTGAAGTACACATTTCCATATTCACGTTTAAAATTAAGCCTCAGCATTTAACATTCAATTTTTTTGGTGGTAAAGGGGTACACGTACGGCTTTCAAGACAACTCTTTAAAGTCTTGTAAAAATGCAGATTCATATATATATGTCAGTTCTAGAGACATACCACTTTGAAGATACATTTTTACCAAAGCTTTAGTTTCAGACATGAATATCATGGATATCATGACATGGATTATGGCTGACATGGATTGACTGACTAGCACTTAAACCTAGCACTAGGACGAGAAAAATGGATTAGGAAAAGGAAAAACATGAGTTCATGTAGGTCATTAAGTAGGGTAGGCATAACAAAATCACAGCAATAAAACTATGTATATTAAGATATTATAGATTAAGAAAACTTCTGTTCTCCTATGTAATTATTGGTCGTGATTTAACCTAGTAACTAATTTTAAGATTCAATATGGTAACAAGTATAAGCTGCGATAATTTCTTAGTAAACAGAGTTTAAATGACTGAATTCCACGAAAATTTAATTAACATTGTGCTCAGCGTGAAAAGTTTTCCATAGCTATATACAAATGCAACCCTCAAAGTGATTTTCCTTTTTTCGGGTACATATACCGATTTTTAAACTAATTTCAAGTCGCGCTCTTCTCTCATTTTGCCTGGATTTTCTCTCAATCCAAGGATGGAGTCGTCGGACTCGGGACAATCCGCATTCTGAGTTCATTCCACTCATTAGCATGTGCTCGGCGTAAGAGGAAAACGAGGCGGTGATTTTGTTGTCTTCTTTCTTTCTTTAAATTTATCGATTTTCTTGGATGGGTCGCTCTGCTCTTTACCGTTTCCAACTAATGAGCTGTACTTGGTTCCGATTTGCTCGGACTCTTCCCGGCCCGGCCGTAATCATTCAACTTTGCTGGCATCGCTGATTATAATCAGCATAATGTGTACTCTCTTACACTTCAATAGTTCACGCCACGGATCAGTAGAGCTCGGCTCGGCTCGTCCTGACCGGACCCCTCTCCTTACACCCCTTCCACTCCTTCCCCCGCAGTGGGTGCGGGGAGACGCAGGGGCCAGGCGAACGCTTCCCCGCCTGCGTTCTTATAGGCTCTAATAACCGTAATCAGGTTAACGTTAACGTTCAGTTTACCTACTGATTTGCTGCCACTTGGCAGTCACTCCTATTCCGGCTGCAGCCATGGTTTCTGCTCAGTGAATGTGTGAACATTCAGAGCCTAGTTTCTGCAGAGCCGTTTAAAGTTGCAAAATGCCCCGCAGGTACTAACGCAAAAGATTTTAGATACTTGATTTTAATCAAAATCGCTGGTCCGTTGCTCAGCCGAAAGACCTTTCTCCCGCACGTTAGCTGTTTATATAATTATGATATTTGATTTAATGACGACTTGCTTCCGAAACAATCCAATCAAAAAATTTGATTGAAGTAGGCGTCACCGCAACAGAACTGCCAAAGTAACTTCTGCTGCCTTCCAGGCGTGAAACTATTCCAAAGGTCAGGCGGCTAAAAGAGTTCCTTACACTCGCTAATGGTTAACCAGCTTTCGGAATTGTTTTAGCTGATTTACTGTAATGGCCTAAGCCAAAAGCTGGGCAGTAATGGCCTAAGCCAAAAGCTGGGCAGTCCATGCAGTTTCCCTGAAAATTTATAGCCACCTGATCAGCCCACACCATTGCCATGTGAGTCAAGGCGATCCCTCGATATTAAATTCTTAATTTGGAATCATTAGCAGGCCAGGGTACAGCCGACAAGGTGGCGAGTGAGAAGCGGTCAGATGTGCACAGCCCAGAGTTTCGATATTCGCTATTCGACAACCAGCCTCATTCACAGCCGTACAGAGTCTTCAACTGGGCCAGGAACACGAGTTTCCACTGATACCCGCCAAGAGCAAAATCAAGGCGGCAAAATTTAATACCCATATATCGTTGCAGGGCTGCTACACAACACACACGGCGTGGCCACAGTGCTCCGGGATCCGATCCGCGCGCACCTCCTGCCTGCTTTTGATTTTTAAATTGAAAATAATAATTTTGCGCACTCAATTTTCAGCGATTTGTCAAAACATTGTTTATTGTCGACGCCAAGTCCCGATTCTCCAATACCCCAGACCGACTCCACATCGCCAGCCGCTGTTCTCTTACTCTATCCTCCACTGCGGCGGCGCACTTTAAGTTAATTGAAATATTTCAACGATTTTCGCCCTGTGGTTTCTTCTACCTGCCGTCGTGTGTCCGTCTTCGGGATCAAAGGGGATTCTCTCTGCATGCGGCTGCGATCAAAGGCCTTTTTGCATATTCCCCTCGGTTAACTTCTCCGGCTGCCTTTTAATAGAATTCAACGCTCATTTCTATCGCATGCGATTTATTTCCTACGATTTTCGGTTCACGAGTCTGTGCCCCTCGCCATCAGTTGTACGCGGAGAGTTCAAATATTGATTTTTATTGCCATTTGACTGCTAGGCGCCTTATTGCTTTTAAATTGAGTGATTATTGCTCGTGAAAAAGCCGGCTAGTATTGATATGGGAAAATGTAAAATGAAAATATTGGAAGGTGATTTATTGGGACTCAAAGAAAGGATCGTGAACAGCTTCTAATAAGTGAGCATTTATTTGTTAGATAGCAATCAGGAGTTAAACAAGATTTACAAATTACAATTTTTAGACAAAAGCTGGCTGTGCTTCAAGTACCTTCAATGGTTGCGATGCTTTGCTCAGGATATCAAAGCCCACTTTAAATGATTAACTGCTTCATAAGCTTTAAACCAATGCTTG